CGTGGGTTGCAGCGTCATGATTTGTACAACTTTTAATGGCCATGGGGTGTAGATTGGCCTGAGCAAATTTGGTGCCGGTGGAACAAAAGCCTTCGGAGGAGTTAGCGAAATTCCAATGTGTGCGGATCGGCAAAAAATGCGAAATAACCCTTTAACCGTACATTTGACAGATACGCCCACACTGACTTTTTTGTAGATCGTATTGAGATACATGTGTGTGTCAATTTTTGTGTCAATATGACAAAGCGTACAGGCGTGACAGTCAATAGTGTGAATTTCCACCTTAGGGGGCGCTATGGAGCCATTTTGCATTTTATTGTTTGGGCGACTTCAGAATATCGAATTTTTCACCAGGCCCGGTCGTCCTGCCAAATTTCATGAGTTTTCGCCAGTGGGAAGTGGGCCATTTTCCCCTTCAAAGGGGAGGAAAAATAAGAAGAACTAGGGCCCCGGTGGGGCACTGTCGGGCCCAAGCCGCGTCGCGCCGCCCCCAGCGCGACCGCCTCCCCCTCCCGATTGCATCACACTCAAGGTCCAAAGATGGTGTGCGCACTTGTCTGTGGTCATTTCCCATTATAATGAATGGGAGGCGCAGTTTCTACCAAAACGGTCGCTGCAGACAAACTACATGTCCTATTTGAAAAAAGTCTGGACCATGAGTGAGGGCACAAACACAGCTAGGATATATCCAAATGGCAAGTTGCTCCTCCTTACGGTGTTGCCGGGAGAGCGATGCAATTGAGCCATTGAGCGATGGGCAGGGTTAACTTGACTTTTTCTCCTGCCTTGGGGGGGGGTGTGGATTCTTTTAAGAATGTGGATATTTGGGTCATCTTTGGCGCCCCCTAGAACGTAAACCATGGGGTGCAGCGGCATGATTTTTACAACTTTGAATGGCCATGGGATGTAGATCGGCTTGAGCAAATTTGGTGTCGGTGGGAAGAAAGCCTTAGGAGGAGTTAGCCACATTCCAATGTGTGCGAATCGGCAAAAAATGCGAAATAGCCCTTTAACCGTACATTTTACAGATACGTGCCCATTGACTTTTTCGTAGATCTTATTGAGATACACGTGTGTGTCAAATTTTGTGTCATTTTGACAAAGTGTATAGGCGTGACAGTCAACAATGTGTTTTTTCACCTTAGGGGACAAGAAAAAATGGACTTTTTTCTCCTGCCATGGGGGGGGCGCCCTTTTCGGGAGTAAAAATTCCTTTACAAATGTGTTGATGGCTGGACATTGCATCATCCTAGAAAACTTGGAGGCCAGTGAGGACAAAAATAAAAAGTTATAAGACTATTAAGAATGTGGATTTTTGGGTTATCTTTGGCGCCCCCTAGAACCTAAACCGTGGAGTGCAGCGTCATGATTTGTACAACTTTTAATGGCCATGGGGTGTAGATTGGCCTGAGCAAATTTGGTGGCGGTGGAACTAAAGCCTTCGGAGGAGTTAGCGAAATTCCAATGTGTGCGGATCGGGAAAAAATGCGAAATAACCCTTTAACCGTACATTTTACAGATACGTGCCCATTGACTTTTTCGTAGATCTTATTGAGATACACGTGTGTGTCAAATTTTGTATCATTTTGACAAAGCGTATAGGCGTGACAGTCAACAATGTGTTTTTTCACCTTAGGGGACAAGAAAAAATGGACTTTTTTCTCCTGCCATGGGGGGCGCTCTTTTCGTGAGTAAAAATTCCTTCACAAATGTGTTGATGGCTGGACATTGCATCATCCTAGAGAACTTGGAGGCCAGTGAGGACAAAAATAAAAAGTTATAAGACTTTTAAGACTGTGGATTTTTGGGTTATCTTTGGCGCCCCCTAGAACGTAAACCGTGGGGTGCAGCGTCATGATTTGTACAACTTTTAATGGCCATGGGGTGTAGATTGGCCTGAGCAAATGTGGTGCCGGTGGAACGAATGCCTTCGGAGGAGTTAGCGAAATTCCAATGTGTGCAGATCTGCAAAAAATGCGAAATAACCCTCTAACCGTACATTTCACATATGCGCCCGCGCTGACTTTGTGTGTCAATTTTTGTGTCAAAATGACAAAGCGTACAGGCGTGACAGTCAATAGTGTGAATTTTCGCCTTAGGGGGCGCTATGGAGCCATTTTGCATTTTATTGTTTGGGCGACTTCAGAATATTGAATTTTTCACCAGGCCCGGTCGTCCTGCCAAATTTCCTGAGTTTTCGCCAGTGGGAAGTGGGCCATTTTCCCCTTCAAAGGGGAGGAAAAATAAGAAGAAAGAAAGAAAGAAAGAAGAAAGAAAAACCTATACAGGAATAATAGGGCTCTACGCCCGGCTGCTCTGCAGCTGGCTCGGGCCCTAAAGACTAGGGCCCCGGTGGGGCACTGTCGGGCCCGGGCCGCGTCGTGCCGCCCCCAGCGTGACCGCCTCCCCCTCCCGATCGCGTCACACTCAAGGTCCAACGATGGTGTGCGCACTTGTCTGTGGTCATTTCCCATTATAATGAATGGGAGGCGCAGTTTCTACCAAAACACTCGCTGCAGACAAACTTCATGTCCTATTTGAAAAAAGTCTGGACCATGAGTGAGGGCACAAACACAGCTGGGATATATCCAAATGGCAGGTTGCTCCTCCTTACGGTGTTGCCTGGAGAGCGATGCGATTGAGCCATTGAGCGATGGGCAGGAGAAACTTGACTGTTTCTCCTGCCATGGGGGATGGGGGATGAGGGGGGGATGTGGATTCTTTTAAGAATGTGGATATTTGGGTCATCTTTGGCGCCCCCTAGAACGTAAACCGTGGGGTGCAGCGTCATGATTTTTACAACTTTGAATGGCCATGGGGTGTAGATTGGCCTGAGCAAATTTGGTGTCAGTGGGACGAAAGCCTTAGGAGGAGTTAGCCACATTCCAATGTGTGCGAATCGGCAAAAAATGCAAAATAGCCCTTTAACCGTACATTTGACAGAAACGCGCGAATCAACTCTTTTGTAGATCTTATTGAGATACATATGTGTGTCAATTTTTGTGTCAATATGATAAAGCGTACAGGCGTGACAGTCAATAGTGTGAATTTCCACCTTAGGGGACAAGAAAAAATTGGCTTTTTTTTCCTGCCATGGGGGGGCGCTCTTTTGGGGAGTAAAAATTCCTTCACAAATGTGTTGATGGCTGGACATTGCATCATCCTAGAAAACTTGGAGGCCAGTGAGGACAAAAATAAAAAGTTATAAGACTTTTAATTATGTGGATTTTAGGGTTATCTTTGGCGCCCCCTAGAACGTAAACCGTGGGGTGCAGCGTCATGATTTGTACAACTTTTAATGGCCATGGGGTGTAGATTGGCCTGAGCAAATGTGGTGCCGGTGGAACGAATGCCTTCGGAGGAGTTAGCGAAATTCCAATGTGTGCAGATCTGCAAAAAATGCGAAATAACCCTCTAACCGTACATTTCACATATGCGCCCGCGCTGACTTTGTGTGTCAATTTTTGTGTCAAAATGACAAAGCGTACAGGCGTGACAGTCAATAGTGTGAATTTTCGCCTTAGGGGGCGCTATGGAGCCATTTTGCATTTTATTGTTTGGGCGACTTCAGAATATTGAATTTTTCACCAGGCCCGGTCGTCCTGCCAAATTTCCTGAGTTTTCGCCAGTGGGAAGTGGGCCATTTTCCCCTTCAAAGGGGAGGAAAAATAAGAAGAAAGAAAGAAAGAAAGAAGAAAGAAAAACCTATACAGGAATAATAGGGCTCTACGCCCGGCTGCTCTGCAGCTGGCTCGGGCCCTAAAGACTAGGGCCCCGGTGGGGCACTGTCGGGCCCGGGCCGCGTCGTGCCGCCCCCAGCGTGACCGCCTCCCCCTCCCGATCGCGTCACACTCAAGGTCCAACGATGGTGTGCGCACTTGTCTGTGGTCATTTCCCATTATAATGAATGGGAGGCGCAGTTTCTACCAAAACACTCGCTGCAGACAAACTTCATGTCCTATTTGAAAAAAGTCTGGACCATGAGTGAGGGCACAAACACAGCTGGGATATATCCAAATGGCAGGTTGCTCCTCCTTACGGTGTTGCCTGGAGAGCGATGCGATTGAGCCATTGAGCGATGGGCAGGAAAAACTTGACTGTTTCTCCTGCCATGGGGGATGGGGGATGAGGGGGGGATGTGGATTCTTTTAAGAATGTGGATATTTGGGTCATCTTTGGCGCCCCCTAGAACGTAAACCGTGGGGTGCAGCGTCATGATTTTTACAACTTTGAATGGCCATGGGGTGTAGATTGGCCTGAGCAAATTTGGTGTCAGTGGGACGAAAGCCTTAGGAGGAGTTAGCCACATTCCAATGTGTGCGAATCGGCAAAAAATGCAAAATAGCCCTTTAACCGTACATTTGACAGAAACGCGCGAATCGACTCTTTTGTAGATCTTATTGAGATACATATGTGTGTCAATTTTTGTGTCAATATGATAAAGCGTACAGGCGTGACAGTCAATAGTGTGAATTTCCACCTTAGGGGACAAGAAAAAATTGGCTTTTTTTTCCTGCCATGGGGGGGCGCTCTTTTGGGGAGTAAAAATTCCTTCACAAATGTGTTGATGGCTGGACATTGCATCATCCTAGAAAACTTGGAGGCCAGTGAGGACAAAAATAAAAAGTTATAAGACTTTTAATTATGTGGATTTTAGGGTTATCTTTGGCGCCCCCTAGAACCTAAACCGTGGGATGCAGCGTCATGATTTGAATAACTTTTAATGGCCATGGGGTGTAGATTGGCCTGAGCAAATGTGGTGCCGGTGGAACGAAAGCCTTAGGAGGAGTTAGCCACATTCCAATGTGTGCGGATCGGCAAAAAATGCGGAATAACCCTTTAACTGTACATTTGACAGATACGCGCGCATTGACTTTTTCGTAGATCTTATTGAGATACATGTGTGTGTCAATTTTTGTGTCATTTTGCCAAAGCATACAGGTGTTACACTCAACAATGTGTATTTTCACCTTAGGGGACAAGAAAAAATGGACTTTTTTCTCCTGCCATGGGGGGGCGCTCTTTTGGGGAGTAAAAATTCCTTCACAAATGTGTTGATGGCTGGACATTGCATCATCCTAGAAAACTTGGAGGCCAGTGAGGGCAAAAATAAAAAGTTATAAGACTTTTAAATATGTGGATCTTAGGGTTATCTTTGGCGCCCCCTAGAACCTAAACCGTGGGGTGCAGCGTCATGATTTGAATAACTTTTAATGGCCATGGGGTGTAGATTGGCCTGAGCAAATGTGGTGCCGGTGGAACGAAAGCCTTCGGAGGAGTTAGCGAAATTCCAATGTGTGCGGATCGGCAAAAAATGCGAAATAACCCTTTAACCGTACATTTGACAGATACGCCCGCACTGACTTTTTTGTAGATCTTATTGAGATACATGTGTGTGTCAATTTTTGTGTCATTTTGACAAAGCGTACAGGCGTGACAGTCAATAGTGTGAATTTTCACCTTAGGGGGCGCTATGGAGCCATTTTGCATTTTCTTGTTTGGGCGACTTCGGAATATCAAATTTTTCACCAGGCCCGGTCGTCCTGCCAAATTTCATGAGTTTTCGCCAGTGGGAAGTGGGCCATTTTCCAGTTCAAAGGGGAGGAAAAATAATAACTAGGGCCCCGGTGGGGCACTGTCGGGCCCGAGCCGCGTCGCGCCGCCCCCAGTGCGACCGCCTCCCCGTCCCGATCGAGTCACACTCAAGAACCAAAGATGGTGTGCGCACTTGTCTGTGGTCATTTACCATTATAATGAATGGGAGGCGCAGTTTCTACCAAAACACTCGCTGCAGACAAACTTCATGTCCTATTTGAAAAAAGTCTGGACCATGAGTGAGGGCACAAACACAGCTATGATAGATCGAAATGCCAGGTTGCTCCTCCTTACGGTGTTGCCTGGAGAGCGATGCGATTGAGCCATTGAGCGATGGGAGGGAAAAACTTTTTCTCCTGCCATAGGGGGGGGATGTGGATTCTTTTAAGAATGTGGATTTTTGGGTCATCTTTGGCGCCCCCTAGAACGTAAACCGTGGGGTGCAGCGTCATGATTTTTACAACTTTGAATGGCCATGGGGTGTAGATTGGCCTGAGCAAATTTGGTGTCAGTGGGACGAAAGCCTTAGGAGGAGTTAGCCACATTCCAATGTGTGCGAATCGGCAAAAAATGCAAAATAGCCCTTTAACCGTACATTTGACAGATACGCACGAATTGACTTTTTTGTAGATCTTATTGAGATACATATGTGTGTCAATTTTTGTGTCAATATGATAAAGCGTACAGGCGTGACAGTCAATAGTGTGAATTTCCACCTTAGGGGACAAGAAAAAATGGACTTTTTTCTCCTGCCATGGGGGGCGCTCTTTTGGGGAGTAAAAATTCCTTCACAAATGTGTTGATGGCTGGACATTGCATCATCCTAGAAAACTTGGAGGTCAGTGAGGACAAAAATAAAAAGTTATAAGACTTTGAAATATGTGGATTTTAGGGTTATCTTTGGCGCCCCCTAGAACCTAAACCGTGGGATGCAGCGTCATGATTTGAATAACTTTTAATGGCCATGGGGTGTAGATTGGCCTGAGCAAATGTGGTGCCGGTGGAACGAAAGCCTTCGGAGGAGTTAGTGAAATTCCAATGTGTGCGGATCGGCAAAAAATGCGGAATAACCCTTTAACCGTACATTTGACAGATACGCGCGCATTGACTTTTTCGTAGATCTTATTGAGATACATGTGTGTGTCAATTTTTGTGTCATTTTGCCAAAGCGTACAGGTGTTACACTCAACAATGTGTATTTTCACCTTAGGGGACAAGAAAAAATTGACTTTTTTCTCCTGCCATGGGGGGGCGCTCTTTTGGGGAGTAAAAATTCCTTCACAAATGTGTTGATGGCTGGACATTGCATCATCCTAGAAAACTTGGAGGCCAGTGAGGACAAAAATAAAAAGTTATAAGACTTTTAAGAATGTGGATTTTTGGGTTATCTTTGGCGCCCCCTAGAACGTAAACCGTGGGGTGCAGCGTCATGATTTTAATAACTTTTAATGGACATGGGGTGTAGATTGACCTGAGCAAATGTGGTGCCGGTGGAACGAAAGCCTTCGGAGGAGTTAGCGAAATTCCAATGTGTGCGGATCGGCAAAAAATGCGAAATAACCCTTTAACCGTACATTTGACAGATACGCCCGCACTGACTTTTTTGTAGATCTTATTGAGATACATGTGTGTGTCAATTTTTGTGTCATTTTGACAAAGCGTACAGGCGTGACAGTCAATAGTGTGAATTTTCACCTTAGGGGGCGCTATGGAGCCATTTTGCATTTTCTTGTTTGGGCGACTTCGGAATATCAAATTTTTCACCAGGCCCGGTCGTCCTGCCAAATTTCATGAGTTTTCGCCAGTGGGAAGTGGGCCATTTTCCAGTTCAAAGGGGAGGAAAAATAATAACTAGGGCCCCGGTGGGGCACTGTCGGGCCCGAGCCGCGTCGCGCCGCCCCCAGTGCGACCGCCTCCCCGTCCCGATCGAGTCACACTCAAGAACCAAAGATGGTGTGCGCACTTGTCTGTGGTCATTTACCATTATAATGAATGGGAGGTAAAAATAATAATAACAAAAGAAGGAAACATGCAGGAACAAGAGGGCTCTCGCAGCTGCTTAGCAGCTACGCTCGGGCCCTAACTAGGACCCCGTTGGGGCACTGGCGGGCCCGAGCCGTGTCGCGTCCCCCCCCCCAACGTGCTGCCTTCCCGTCCCATTTGTGTCCTCTGGCCATCGCCCTCTCTGGTAACGCCCATCACTGCAAAGACCCTTTTCCTTCATCGGCGTTTGCTGTTCTTCCTGCCAGTGCGTGTTGCTTTCACTTACACTTGCCACAGCCAGCCTCGTGAGTGCCTAGCCTATTGGATATCACTGTCACCTACACAGGACAGTCATTACCTTTCTATTAATACTTTGTGTTTTAATTTCACATTAATTTCCATATTGTATAAACGACTGGAAAAAACTTGAGCCCCTGCCCCTGTATAATCATGTGCATGTCTCTGTTCTAGCTCCAAGGTGAATCTTCACTGCTCATGTTCTCCTCAGAAGCACTCACCTCACTCCCCTCAGGTTACTGTACACATGCACCAACTGCCTGCTTCAGGTTTGGATGGAGCTTCATGGTTGTCTTTTGGAGAAATGACCAGTCAAGTTGTGTTTGAAATTTGATTTTTTTCAGGGGCAAAAGGAGCCTCTGCATTCTTGTCAAATATGTAAATAGCATGTTTTTGCAGGTGCTAAAAACCAGACTCTGAGTGTGTGTGTGTGTGTGTGTGTGCGTGTGTGTGTGTCTGTGTGTGCGTTCAAGTCACATGACATATTTAACCGGATGTAGCTGCAAGACGGAGCCTCGTTGACTCTCCGTTTCAACTTATCTCAAAAGTGAGGACCTCAACCTATATACCAGTTTTTAAATTGTGTTGATAGGCCAAATAAAACCAGAGTTATGATAAATTATGTCCGCAATACTTTTTTTCTGCTTATTTTGATCACGTTCGGCGCTCGATCGCGCTGTATGAGACAGGAAAACATAGCATGCAGACATTAGCGACAGGTCTTACAGGCGGAAAAGGCTTGCCAAAAGAAAAAAAAAACACACCACAACATCTCTCCTATTGGTGGAAAACTTCACCACAACAACCAATCCAAAATTATATGGTGACTGATTGACAAGGGGCGGGCGCTTACGTTCTTCCTGCAACATGAGAAGGGAGGGAGGGACTCTCAGCAGGGATGCAGTCTGGGACACGTAGTTGCAAACCTAGCGACTTTGTTGTTAGATTCAATGACTTTTCAGACCCCCTAACGACTTTTTTTTAGAAAGAAAGGGACTTTTATCGACTTCTTCTGGAGTTTAGAGACTCTGACATGAAGCAGGCTTTCCTTACTGAGGAGTTAGCAACGTTGCTAAGGGTGCAGAGCCACACATGCGCTCAGAGCTCTGCATGGGAGACTGAAGCTGACAGAGCTGCAGCAGTTAGCAGGTTTCACCCTCAGAGACCACCAGGGGTTCATGTTGAGGCATTTTAAATTTTTTTTTTTTTTGTGCCATAGACACTGTCAGCACAATCTGCAGTTACACTAACAAAAATGCTGCAAAAAACAAAGAATTATGGAAAAATTACACATGGACTGACATAGAGGAGGATCTACACAAGTTTTTTACATCATGTTTTACATCATGCATCATTTACATCATGTTTTTTTGTAGTGGCATAAATAAAAAGTGACATTTGTGAGACTATACAGTGTTTTGTAAATAATTTTACAAAGAACGCCTGGGCCATTGCCTGCATTTTGATGTAAATAGAGGTAAATCACTATGTTCTTTGTTAAAAATTTGCATATGTTTTGAAGTTTACAATTTTTATTTGAAGTTTAAGTTTTAAAAACAGTTCATCACACATATTTGTGGTTTTCACAGTAAAAATGTTACTTTTTTCCACTCGGATTTTATGTTTTGTGTGTGAATTTGGGTCCATTGTGTAAATTCAGTATGTCAACATGATAAAATAACTGTAAATTCGCACAGGTGAGGTTGTGCTGAAAAAAATGATACCAGGCAAGGCACGTGATTGTCAAATTTTGTGTCAATATGACAAAGCGTATAGGCGTGAATCTCAACAATATGTATTTTCACCTTAGGGGACAAGAAAAAATGGACTTTTTTCTCCTGCCATGGGGGGGCGCTCTTTTGGGGAGTAAAAATTCCTTCACAAATGTGTTGATGGCTGGACATTGCATCATCCTAGAAAACTTGGAGGCCAGTGAGGACAAAAATAAAAAGTTATAAGACTTTTAAATATGTGGATTTTAGGGTTATCTTTGGCGCCCCCTAGAACCTAAACCGTGGGGTGCAGCGTCATGATTTGAATAACTTTTAATGGCCATGGGGTGTAGATTGGCCTGAGCAAATGTGGTGCCGGTGGAACGAAAGCCTTAGGAGGAATTAGCCACATTCCAATGTGTGCGGATCGGCAAAAAATGCGGAATAACCCTTTAACCGTACATTTGACAGATACGCGCGCATTGACTTTTTCGTAGATCTTATTGAGTTACATGTGTGTGTCAATTTTTGTGTCATTTTGACAAAGCGTATAGGCGTGACACTCAACAATGTGTATTTTCACCTTAGGGGACAAGAAAAAATGGACTTTTTTCTCCTGCCATGGGGGGGCGCTCTTTTGGGGAGTAAAAATTCCTTCACAAATGTGTTGATGGCTGGACATTGCATCATCCTAGAAAACTTGGAGGCCAGTGAGGGCAAAAATAAAAAGTTATAAAACTTTTAAGAATGTGGATTTTAGGGTTATTTTTGGCGCCCCCTAGAACCTAAACCATGGGGTGCAGCATCATGATTTGTACAACTTTGAATGGCCATGGAGTGTAGATTGGCCTGAGCAAATGTGGTGCCGGTGGAACGAAAGCCTTTGGAGGAGTTAGCGAAATTCCAATGTGTGCGGATCTGCAAAAAATGCGAAATAACCCTTTAACCGTACATTTGACAGATACGCCCGCACTGACTTTTTTGTAGATCTTATTGAGATACATGTGTGTGTCAATTTTTGTGTCAATATGACAAAGCGTACAGGCGTGACAGTCAATAGTGTGAATTTTCACCTTAGGGGGCGCTATGGAGCCATTTTGTATTTTATTGTTTGGGCGATTTCAGAATATCGAATTTTTCACCAGGCCCGGTCGTCCTGCCAAATTTCCTGAGTTTTCGCCAGTGGGAAGTGGGCCATTTTCCAGTTTAAAGCGGAGGAAAAATAATAATAACTAGGGCCCCGTTGGGGCACTGGCGGGCCCGAGCTGTGTCGCGCCCCCCCCCCCCCCCAACGCGCTGCCTCCCCGTCCCATTCGCGTCCTCTGGCCATCGTCCTCTCTGGTAACGCCCATCACTGCAAAGACCCTTTTCCTTCATCGGCGTTTGCTGTTCTTCCTGCCAGTGCGTGTTGCTTTCACTTACACTTGCCACAGCCAGCCTCGTGAGTGCCTAGCCTATTGGATATTACCGTCACCTACACAGGACAGTCATTACCTTTCTATTAATACTTTGTTTTTTAATTTCACATTAATTTCCATATTGTATAAACGACTGGAAAAAACTTGAGCCCCTGCCCCTGCATAATCATGTGCACGTCCCTGTTCTCGCTCCAAGGTGAATCTTCACTGCTCATGTTCTCCTCAGAAGCAGTCACCTCACTCCCCTCAGGTTACTGTACACATGCACCAACTGCCTGCTTCAGGTTTGGATGGAGCTTCATGGTTGTCATTTGGAGAAATGAACAGTCAAGTTGTGTTTGAAATTTGATTTTTTTCAGGGGCAAAAGGAAGCCTCTGCATTCTTGTCAAATATGTAAACAGCATGTTTTTGCAGGTGCTAAAAAACAGACTCTGTGTGTGTGTGTGTGTGTGTGTGTGTGTGTGTGTGTGTGTGTGTGTGTGTGTGTATCTTGCAGTACTCTGTACTCCTGCAGTGACCAAAAAGACTTTTAAGAATGTGGATTTTTGGGTCATCTTTGGCGCCCCCTAGAACGTAAACCGTGGGGTGCAGCGGCATGATTTTTACAACTTTGAATGGGCATGGGGTGTAGATTGCCCTGAGCAAATTTGGTATCAGTGGGACGAAAGCCTTAGGAGGAAATAGCCACATTCCAATGTGTGCGAATCGGCAAAAAATGCGAAATAGCCCTTTAACCGTACATTTGACAGATACGTGCCTATTGACTTTTTTGTAGATCTTATTGAGATACACGTGATTGTCAAATTGTGTGTCAATATGACAAAGTGTATAGGCGTGACACTCAACAATGTGTATTTTTACCTTAGGAGACAAGAAAAAATTGACTTTTTTCTCCTGCCATGGGGGGGCGCTCTTTTGGGGAGTAAAAATTCCTTCACAAATGTGTTGATGGCTGGACATTGCATCATCCTAGAAACCTTGGAGGCCAGTGAGGACAAAAATAAAAAGTTATAAGACTTTTAAGAATGTGGATTTTTGGGTTATATTTGGCGCCGCCTAGAACCTAAACCGTGGGGTGCAGCGTCATGATTTGTACAACTTTTAATGGCCATGGGGTGTAGATTGGCCTGAGCAAATTTGGTGCCGGTGGAACGAAAGCCTTTGGAGGAGTTAGCGAAATTCCAATGTGTGCGGATCGGCAAAAAAAGCGAAATAGCCCTTTAACCGTACATTTGACAGATACGCCCGCACTGACTTTTTCGTAGATCTTATTGAGATACACATGTGTGTCAAATTTTGTGTCATTTTGACAAAGCGTACAGGCATCAGGTGAGTTTTCACCATAGGGGGCGCTATGGAGCCATTTTTCATTTTTTTGTTTGGACGACTTCAGAATATCAAATTTTTCACCAGGCCCGGTCATCCTGCCAAATTTTCTGAGTTTTCGCCAGTGGGAAGTGGGCCATTTTCCAGTTAAAAGCGGAGGAAAAATAACGAAAGAAGAATCCATCAGGAACAAGAGGGCTCTCGCAGCTGCTTAGCAGCTACGCTCGGGCCCTAATAATAACAAAAGAAGAATCCATCAGGAACAAGAGGGCTCTCGCAGCTGCTTAGCAGCTACGCTCGGGCCCTAAAGAAACAAAGAAAAACCACTTGGGGAATAATAGGGCCGACGCCCGGCTGCTCTGCAGCTGGCTCGGGCCCTAAAAAGAAGAATCCATCAGGAACAAGAGGGCTCTCGCAGCTGCTTAGCAGCTACGCTCGGGCCCTAAGAAAGAAACAAAGACTAGGACCCCGTTGGGGCACTGGCGGGCCCGAGCCGTGTCGCGTCCCCCCCCCCCAACGTGCTGCCTCCCCGTCCCATTTGTGTCCTCTGGCCATCGCCCTCTCTGGTAACGCCCATCACTGCAAAGACCCTTTTCCTTCATCGGCGTTTGCTGTTCTTCCTGCCAGTGCGTGTTGCTTTCACTTACACTTGCCACAGCCAGCCTCGTGAGTGCCTAGCCTATTGGATATCACTGTCACCTACACAGGACAGTCATTACCTTTCTATTAATACTTTGTGTTTTAATTTCACATTAATTTCCATATTGTATAAACGACTGGAAAAAACTTGAGCCCCTGCCCCTGTATAATCATGTGCATGTCTCTGTTCTAGCTCCAAGGTGAATCTTCACTGCTCATGTTCTCCTCAGAAGCACTCACCTCACTCCCCTCAGGTTACTGTACACATGCACCAACTGCCTGCTTCAGGTTTGGATGGAGCTTCATGGTTGTCTTTTGGAGAAATGACCAGTCAAGTTGTGTTTGAAATTTGATTTTTTTCAGGGGCAAAAGGAGCCTCTGCATTCTTGTCAAATATGTAAATAGCATGTTTTTGCAGGTGCTAAAAAACAGACTCTGAGTGTGTGTGTGTGTGTGTGTGTGTGTGTGTGTGTGTGTGTGTGTGTGTGTGTGTGTGTGTGTGTGTGTGTGTCTGTGTGTGCGTTCAAGTCACATGACATATTTAACCGGATGTAGCTGCAAGACGGAGCCTCGTTGACTCTCCGTTTCAACTTATCTCAAAAGTGAGGACCTCAACCTATATACCAGTTTTTAAATTGTGTTGATAGGCCAAATAAAACCAGAGTTATGATAAATTATGTCCGCGATACTTTTTTTCTGCTTATTTTGATCACGTTCGGCGCTCGATCGCGCTGTATGAGACAGGAAAACATAGCATGCAGACATTAGCGACAGGTCTTACAGGCGGAAAAGGCTTGCCAAAAGAAAAAAAAAAACACACCACAACATCTCTCCTATTGGTGGAAAACTTCACCACAACAACCAATCCAAAATTATATGGTGACTGATTGACAAGGGGCGGGCGCTTACGTTCTTCCTGCAACATGAGAAGGGAGGGAGGGACTCTCAGCAGGGATGCAGTCTGGGACACGTAGTTGCAAACCTAGCGACTTTGTTGTTAGATTCAATGACTTTTCAGACCCCCTAACGACTTTTTTTTTAGAAAGAAAGGGACTTTTATCGACTTCTTCTGGAGTTTAGAGACTCTGACATGAAGCAGGCTTTCCTTACTGAGGAGTTAGCAACGCTGCTAAGGGTGCAGAGCCACACATGCGCTCAGAGCTCTGCATGGGAGACTGAAGCTGACAGAGCTGCAGCAGTTAGCAGGTTTCACCCTCAGAGACCACCAGGGGTTCATGTTGAGGCATTTTAATTTTTTTTTTTTTTTGTGCCATAGACACTGTCAGCACAATCTGCGGTTACACTAACAAAAATGCTGCAAAAAACAAAGAATTATGGAAAAATTACACATGGACTGACATAGAGGAGGATCTACACAAGTTTTTTACATCATGTTTTACATCATGCATCATTTACATCATGTTTTTTTGTAGTGGCATAAATAAAAAGTGACATTTGTGAGACTATACAGTGTTTTGTAAATAATTTTACAAAGAACGCCTGGGCCATTGCCTGCATTTTGATGTAAATAGAGGTAAATCACTATGTTCTTTGTTAAAAATTTGCATATGTTTTGAAGTTTACAATTTTTATTTGAAGTTTAAGTTTTAAAAACAGTTCATCACACATATTTGTGGTTTTCACAGTAAAAATGTTACTTTTTTCCACTCGGATTTTATGTTTTGTGTGTGAATTTGGGTCCATTGTGTAAATTCAGTATGTCAACATGATAAAATAACTGTAAATTCGCACAGGTGAGGTTGTGCTGAAAAAAATGATACCAGGCAAGGCACGTGAGTGTCAAATTTTGTGTCAATATGACAAAGCGTATAGGCGTGAATCTCAACAATATGTATTTTCACCTTAGGGGACAAGAAAAAATGGACTTTTTTCTCCTGCCATGGGGGGGCGCTCTTTTGGGGAGTAAAAATTCCTTCACAAATGTGTTGATGGCTGGACATTGCATCATCCTAGAAAACTTGGAGGCCAGTGAGGACAAAAATAAAAAGTTATAAGACTTTTAAATATGTGGATTTTAGGGTTATCTTTGGCGCCCCCTAGAACCTAAACCGTGGGGTGCAGCGTCATGATTTGAATAACTTTTAATGGCCACGGGGTGTAGATTGGCCTGAGCAAATGTTGTGCCGGTGGAACGAAAGCCTTCGGAGGAGTTAGCGAAATTCCAATGTGTGCGGATCGGCAAAAAATGCGAAATAACCCTTTAACCGTAATTTTGACAGATACGGCCGCACTGACTTTTTTGTAGATCTTATTGAGATACATATGTGTGTCAATTTTTGTGTCAATATGAAAAAGCGTACAGGCGTGACAGTCAATAGTGTGAATTTCCACCTTAGGGGGCGCTATGGAGCCATTTTGCATTTTATTGTTTGGGCGACTTCAGAATATCGAATTTTTCACCAGGCCCGGTCGTCCTGCCAAATTTCATGAGTTTTCGCGGGTGGGAAGTGGGCCATTTTCCAGTTCAAAGGGGAGGAAAAAGAAGAAAGAAAGAAAGAAAGAAACTAGGGCCCCGATGGGGCACTGTCGGGCCCGAGCCGCGTCGCGCCGCCCCCAGTGCGACCGCCTCCCCGTCCCGATCGAGTCACACTCAAGAACCAAAGATGGTGTGCGCACTTGTCTGTGGTCATTTCCCATTATAATGAATGGGAGGCGCAGTTTCTACCAAAACACTCGCTGCAGACAAACTTCATGTCCTATTTGAAAAAAGTCTGGACCATGAGTGAGGGCACAAACACAGCTATGATAGATCGAAATGCCAGGTTGCTCCTCCTTACGGTGTTGCCTGGAGAGCGATGCGATTGAGCCATTGAGCGATGGGCAGGAAAAACTTGACTTTTTCTCCTGCCATGGGGGGGGATGTGGATTCTTTTAAGAATGTGGATTTTTGGGTCATCTTTGGCGCCCCCTAGAACGTAAACCGTGGGGTGCAGCGTCATGATTTTTACAACTTTGAATGGCCATGGGGTGTAGATTGGCCTGAGCAAATTTGGTGTCAGTGGGACGAAAGCCTTAGGAGGAGTTAGCCACATTCCAATGTGTGCGAATCGGCAAAAAATGCAAAATAGCCCTTTAACCGTACATTTGACAGATACGCGCGAATTGACTTTTTTGTAGATCTTATTGAGATACATATGTGTGTCAATTTTTGTGTCAATATGATAAAGCGTACAGGCGTGACAGTCAATAGTGTGAATTTCCACCTTAGGGGACAAGAAAAAATTGACTTTTTTCTCCTGCCATGGGGGGGCGCTCTTTTGGGGAGTAAAGATTCCTTCACAAATGTGTTGATGGCTGGACATTGCATCATCCTAGAAAACTTGGAGGCCAGTGAGGGCAAAAATAAAAAGTTATAAGACTTTTAAATATGTGGATCTTAGGGTTATCTTTGGCGCCCCCTAGAACCTAAACCTTGGGGTGCAGCGTCATGATTTGAATAACTTTTAATGGCCATGGGGTGTAGATTGGCCTGAGCAAATGTGGTGCTGGTGGAACGAAAGCCTTCGGAGGAGTTAGCGAAATTCCAATGTGTGCGGATCGGCAAAAAATGCGAAATAACCCTTTAACCGTACATTTGACAGATACGCCCGCACTGACTTTTTTGTAGATCTTACTGAGATACATGTGTGTGTCAATTTTTGTGTCATTTTGACAAAGCGTACAGGCGTGACAGTCAATAGTGTGAATTTTCACCTTAGGGGGCGCTATGGAGCCATTTTGCATTTTCTTGTTTGGGCGACTTCGGAATATCAAATTTTTCACCAGGCCCGGTCGTCCTGCCAAATTTCATGAGTTTTCGCGGGTGGGAAGTGGGCCATTTTCCAGTTCAAAGGGGAGGAAAAATAATAACTAGGGCCCCGTTGGGGCACTGGCGGGCCCGAGCCGTGTCACGCCGCCCCCAGCGCGACCGCCTCCCCCACCCGATCGCGTCACACTCAAGGTCCAAAGATGGTGTGCGCACTTGTTTGTGGTCATTTACCATTATAATGAACGGGAGGCGCAGTTTCTACCAAAACGCTCGCTGCAGAAAAACTCCATGTCCTATTTGAAAAAAGTCTGGACCATGAGTGAGGGCACAAACACAGCTAAGATATATCCAAATGGCAAGTTGCTCCTCCTTTCGCTTTTGCCGAGAGAGCAGTGCGTTTGAGCCATTGAATGATGAACAGGAAAAACTTGACTTTATTCTCCTGCCATGGGGGGACGCTCTTTTAACGAGAAAAAACTCCTTCACAAATGTGTTGATGGCTGGACATTGCATCATCCTAGAAAACTTGGAGGCCAGTGAGGACAAAAATAAAAAGTTATAAGACTTTGAAATATGTGGATTTTAGGGTTATCTTTGGCGCCCCCTAGAACCTAAACCGTGGGGTGCAGCGTCATGATTTGAATAACTTTTAATGGCCATGGGGTGTAGATTGGCCTGAGCAAATTTGGTGCCGGTGGAACGAAAGCCTTTGGAGGAGTTAGCGAAATTCCAATGTGTGCGGATCGGCAAAAAAAGCGAAATAGCCCTTTAACCGTACATTTGACAGATACGCCCGCACTGACTTTTTCGTAGATCTTATTGAGATACACATGTGTGTCAAATTTTGTGTCATTTTGACAAAGCGTACAGGCATCAGGTGAGTTTTCACCATAGGGGGCGCTATGGAGCCATTTTTCATTTTTTTGTTTGGACGACTTCAGAATATCAAATTTTTCACCAGGCCCGGTCATCCTGCCAAATTTTCTGAGTTTTCGCCAGTGGGAAGTGGGCCATTTTCCAGTTAAAAGCGGAGGAAAAATAACGAAAGAAGAATCCATCAGGAACAAGAGGGCTCTCGCAGCTGCTTAGCAGCTACGCTCGGGCCCTAATAATAACAAAAGAAGAATCCATCAGGAACAAGAGGGCTCTCGCAGCTGCTTAGCAGCTACGCTCGGGCCCTAAAGAAACAAAGAAAAACCACTTGGGGAATAATAGGGCCGACGCCCGGCTGCTCTGCAGCTGGCTCGGGCCCTAAAAAGAAGAATCCATCAGGAACAAGAGGGCTCTCGCAGCTGCTTAGCAGCTACGCTCGGGCCCTAAGAAAGAAACAAAGACTAGGACCCCGTTGGGGCACTGGCGGGCCCGAGCCGTGTCGCGTCCCCCCCCCCCAACGTGCTGCCTCCCCGTCCCATTTGTGTCCTCTGGCCATCGCCCTCTCTGGTAACGCCCATCACTGCAAAGACCCTTTTCCTTCATCGGCGTTTGCTGTTCTTCCTGCCAGTGCGTGTTGCTTTCACTTACACTTGCCACAGCCAGCCTCGTGAGTGCCTAGCCTATTGGATATCACTGTCACCTACACAGGACAGTCATTACCTTTCTATTAATACTTTGTGTTTTAATTTCACATTAATTTCCATATTGTATAAACGACTGGAAAAAACTTGAGCCCCTGCCCCTGTATAATCATGTGCATGTCTCTGTTCTAGCTCCAAGGTGAATCTTCACTGCTCATGTTCTCCTCAGAAGCACTCACCTCACTCCCCTCAGGTTACTGTACACATGCACCAACTGCCTGCTTCAGGTTTGGATGGAGCTTCATGGTTGTCTTTTGGAGAAATGACCAGTCAAGTTGTGTTTGAAATTTGATTTTTTTCAGGGGCAAAAGGAGCCTCTGCATTCTTGTCAAATATGTAAATAGCATGTTTTTGCTGGTGCTAAAAAACAGACTCTGAGTGTGTGTGTGTGTGTGTGTGTGTGTGTGTGTGTGTGTGTGTGTGTGTGTGTGTGCGTGTGTGTGTGTCTGTGTGTGCGTTCAAGTCACATGACATATTTAACCGGATGTAGCTGCAAGACGGAGCCTCGTTGACTCTCCGTTTCAACTTATCTCAAAAGTGAGGACCTCAACCTATATACCAGTTTTTAAATTGTGTTGATAGGCCAAATAAAACCAGAGTTATGATAAATTATGTCCGCGATACTTTTTTTCTGCTTATTTTGATCACGTTCGGCGCTCGATCGCGCTGTATGAGACAGGAAAACATAGCATGCAGACATTAGCGACAGGTCTTACAGGCGGAAAAGGCTTGCCAAAAGAAAAAAAAAAACACACCACAACATCTCTCCTATTGGTGGAAAACTTCACCACAACAACCAATCCAAAATTATATGGTGACTGATTGACAAGGGGCGGGCGCTTACGTTCTTCCTGCAACATGAGAAGGGAGGGAGGGACTCTCAGCAGGGATGCAGTCTGGGACACGTAGTTGCAAACCTAGCGACTTTGTTGTTAGATTCAATGACTTTTCAGACCCCCTAACGACTTTTTTTTTAGAAAGAAAGGGACTTTTATCGACTTCTTCTGGAGTTTAGAGACTCTGACATGAAGCAGGCTTTCCTTACTGAGGAGTTAGCAACGCTGCTAAGGGTGCAGAGCCACACATGCGCTCAGAGCTCTGCATGGGAGACTGAAGCTGACAGAGCTGCAGCAGTTAGCAGGTTTCACCCTCAGAGACCACCAGGGGTTCATGTTGAGGCATTTTAATTTTTTTTTTTTTTTGTGCCATAGACACTGTCAGCACAATCTGCGGTTACACTAACAAAAATGCTGCAAAAAACAAAGAATTATGGAAAAATTACACATGGACTGACATAGAGGAGGATCTACACAAGTTTTTTACATCATGTTTTACATCATGCATCATTTACATCATGTTTTTTTGTAGTGGCATAAATAAAAAGTGACATTTGTGAGACTATACAGTGTTTTGTAAATAATTTTACAAAGAACGCCTGGGCCATTGCCTGCATTTTGATGTAAATAGAGGTAAATCACTATGTTCTTTGTTAAAAATTTGCATATGTTTTGAAGTTTACAATTTTTATTTGAAGTTTAAGTTTTAAAAACAGTTCATCACACATATTTGTGGTTTTCACAGTAAAAATGTTACTTTTTTCCACTCGGATTTTATGTTTTGTGTGTGAATTTGGGTCCATTGTGTAAATTCAGTATGTCAACATGATAAAATAACTGTAAATTCGCACAGGTGAGGTTGTGCTGAAAAAAATGATACCAGGCAAGGCACGTGAGTGTCAAATTTTGTGTCAATATGACAAAGCGTATAGGCGTGAATCTCAACAATATGTATTTTCACCTTAGGGGACAAGAAAAAATGGACTTTTTTCTCCTGCCATGGGGGGGCGCTCTTTTGGGGAGTAAAAATTCCTTCACAAATGTGTTGATGGCTGGACATTGCATCATCCTAGAAAACTTGGAGGCCAGTGAGGACAAAAATAAAAAGTTATAAGACTTTTAAATATGTGGATTTTAGGGTTATCTTTGGCGCCCCCTAGAACCTAAACCGTGGGGTGCAGCGTCATGATTTGAATAACTTTTAATGGCCACGGGGTGTAGATTGGCCTGAGCAAATGTGGTGCCGGTGGAACGAAAGCCTTCGGAGGAGTTAGCGAAATTCCAATGTGTGCGGATCGGCAAAAAATGCGAAATAACCCTTTAACCGTAATTTTGACAGATACGGCCGCACTGACTTTTTTGTAGATCTTATTGAGATACATATGTGTGTCAATTTTTGTGTCAATATGAAAAAGCGTACAGGCGTGACAGTCAATAGTGTGAATTTCCACCTTAGGGGGCGCTATGGAGCCATTTTGCATTTTATTGTTTGGGCGACTTCAGAATATCCAATTTTTCACCAGGCCCGGTCGTCCTGCCAAATTTCATGAGTTTTCGCGGGTGGGAAGTGGGCCATTTTCCAGTTCAAAGGGGAGGAAAAAGAAGAAAGAAAGAAAGAAAGAAACTAGGGCCCCGATGGGGCACTGTCGGGCCCGAGCCGCGTCGCGCCGCCCCCAGTGCGACCGCCTCCCCGTCCCGATCGAGTCACACTCAAGAACCAAAGATGGTGTGCGCACTTGTCTGTGGTCATTTCCCATTATAATGAATGGGAGGCGCAGTTTCTACCAAAACACTCGCTGCAGACAAACTTCATGTCCTATTTGAAAAAAGTCTGGACCATGAGTGAGGGCACAAACACAGCTATGATAGATCGAAATGCCAGGTTGCTCCTCCTTACGGTGTTGCCTGGAGAGCGATGCGATTGAGCCATTGAGCGATGGGCAGGAAAAACTTGACTTTTTCTCCTGCCATGGGGGGGGGATGTGGATTCTTTTAAGAATGTGGATTTTTGGGTCATCTTTGGCGCCCCCTAGAACGTAAACCGTGGGGTGCAGCGTCATGATTTTTACAACTTTGAATGGCCATGGGGTGTAGATTGGCCTGAGCAAATTTGGTGTCAGTGGGACGAAAGCCTTAGGAGGAGTTAGCCACATTCCAATGTGTGCGAATCGGCAAAAAATGCAAAATAGCCCTTTAACCGTACATTTGACAGATACGCGCGAATTGACTTTTTTGTAGATCTTATTGAGATACATATGTGTGTCAATTTTTGTGTCAATATGATAAAGCGTACAGGCGTGACAGTCAATAGTGTGAATTTCCACCTTAGGGGACAAGAAAAAATTGACTTTTTTCTCCTGCCATGGGGGGCGCTCTTTTGGGGAGTAAAGATTCCTTCACAAATGTGTTGATGGCTGGACATTGCATCATCCTAGAAAACTTGGAGGCCAGTGAGGGCAAAAATAAAAAGTTATAAGACTTTTAAATATGTGGATCTTAGGGTTATCTTTGGCGCCCCCTAGAACCTAAACCTTGGGGTGCAGCGTCATGATTTGAATAACTTTTAATGGCCATGGGGTGTAGATTGGCCTGAGCAAATGTGGTGCTGGTGGAACGAAAGCCTTCGGAGGAGTTAGCGAAATTCCAATGTGTGCGGATCGGCAAAAAATGCGAAATAACCCTTTAACCGTACATTTGACAGATACGCCCGCACTGACTTTTTTGTAGATCTTACTGAGATACATGTGTGTGTCAATTTTTGTGTCATTTTGACAAAGCGTACAGGCGTGACAGTCAATAGTGTGAATTTTCACCTTAGGGGGCGCTATGGAGCCATTTTGCATTTTCTTGTTTGGGCGACTTCGGAATATCAAATTTTTCACCAGGCCCGGTCGTCCTGCCAAATTTCATGAGTTTTCGCGGGTGGGAAGTGGGCCATTTTCCAGTTCAAAGGGGAGGAAAAATAATAACTAGGGCCCCGTTGGGGCACTGGCGGGCCCGAGCCGTGTCACGCCGCCCCCAGCGCGACCGCCTCCCCCACCCGATCGCGTCACACTCAAGGTCCAAAGATGGTGTGCGCACTTGTTTGTGGTCATTTACCATTATAATGAACGGGAGGCGCAGTTTCTACCAAAACGCTCGCTGCAGAAAAACTCCATGTCCTATTTGAAAAAAGTCTGGACCATGAGTGAGGGCACAAACACAGCTAAGATATATCCAAATGGCAAGTTGCTCCTCCTTTCGCTTTTGCCGAGAGAGCAGTGCGTTTGAGCCATTGAATGATGAACAGGAAAAACTTGACTTTATTCTCCTGCCATGGGGGGACGCTCTTTTAACGAGAAAAAACTCCTTCACAAATGTGTTGATGGCTGGACATTGCATCATCCTAGAAAACTTGGAGGCCAGTGAGGACAAAAATAAAAAGTTATAAGACTTTGAAATATGTGGATTTTAGGGTTATCTTTGGCGCCCCCTAGAACCTAAACCGTGGGGTGCAGCGTCATGATTTGAATAACTTTTAATGGCCATGGGGTGTAGATTGGCCTGAGCAAATGTGATGCCAGTGGAACGAAAGCCTTCGGAGGAGTTAGCGAAATTCCAATGTGTGCGGATCAACAAAAAATGCGGAATAACCCTTTAACCGTACATTTGACAGATACGCGCGCATTGACTTTTTCGTAGATCTTATTGAGATACATGTGTGTGTCAATTTTTGTGTCAATATGATAAAGCGTACAGGCGTGACAGTCAATAGTGTGAATTTCCACCTTAGGGGACAAGAAAAAATTGACTTTTTTCTCCTGCCATGGGGGGGCGCTCTTTTGGGGAGTAAAAATTCCTTCACAAATGTGTTGATGGCTGGACATTGCATCATCCTAGAAAACTTGGAGGCCAGTGAGGACAAAAATAAAAAGTTATAAGACTTTTAAATATGTGGATTTTAGGGTTATCTTTGGCGCCCCCTAGAACCTAAACCGTGGGGTGCAGCGTCATGATTTGAATAACTTTTAATGGCCATGGGGTGTAGATTGGCCTGAGCAAATGTGGTGCCGGTGGAACGAAAGCCTTCGGAGGAGTTAGCGAAATTCCAATGTGTGCGGATCTGCAAAAAATGCGGAATAACCCTTTAACTGTACATTTGACAGATACGCACTCATTGACTTTTTCGTAGATCTTATTGAGATACATGTGTGTGTCAATTTTTGTGTCATTTTGCCAAAGCGTACAGGTGTTACACTCAACAATGTGTATTTTCACCTTAGGGGACAAGAAAAAATGGACTTTTTTCTCCTGCCATGGGGGGCGCTCTTTTGGGGAGTAAAAATTCCTTCACAAATGTGTTGATGGCTGGACATTGCATCATCCTAGAAAACTTGGAGGCCAGTGAGGGCAAAAATAAAAAGTTATAAGACTTTTAAATATGTGGATCTTAGGGTTATCTTTGGCGCCCCCTAGAACCTAAACCGTGGGGTGCAGCGTCATGATTTGAATAACTTTTAATGGCCATGGGGTGTAGATTGGCCTGAGCAAATGTGGTGCCGGTGGAACGAAAGCCTTCGGAGGAGTTAGCGAAATTCCAATGTGTGCGGATCGGCAAAAAATGCGAAATAACCCTTTAACCGTACATTTGACAGATACGCCCGCACTGACTTTTTTGTAGATCTTATTGAGATACATGTGTGTGTCAATTTTTGTGTCATTTTGACAAAGCGTACACGCGTGACAGTCAATAGTGTGAATTTTCACCTTAGGGGGCGCTATGGAGCCATTTTGCATTTTATTGTTTGGCCGACTTCGGAATATCAAATTTTTCACCAGGCCCGGTCGTCCTGCCAAATTTCATGAGTTTTCGCCAGTGGGAAGTGGGCCATTTTCCAGTTCAAAGGGGAGGAAAAATAATAACTAGGGCCCCGGTGGGGCACTGGCGGGCCCGAGCTGTGTTGCGTCCCCCCCCCCCCGGCCATAGCTCTCTCTGGTAACGGCCATCACTGCAAAAACCCCTTTGCTTCATTGGTGTTTGCTGTTCTTCCTGCCATTGCGTGTTGCTTTCACTTTCACTTGCCACAGCCAGCGTTGTGAGTGCCTGGCCTGGTTTGAGCTTTGTTCACTATGATTGTGTGACCTAGGTATTGGCTACTTGGGAAGTGTCACTGTTGTGGCAAAGCTTTGTTTGCGTGTTGTGTGCAACCACATTTTTTCTATGGATGTGTAAGTAAACCACTTTCTTTTTTTATACAATGACACACTCATACTTATCATTCACTGTTGGTATTTCAGAATGCTGTGTTTGTTGCTGCACAGACGTGCATTTCAGGTGAGAGGCTGGACTCGCTTGAAGACACAGTGTGGCTTAAAAGAATGTACAAGAAATCCAAAAACAGCAGAGAGTCAGCTCAGGCTATCTGAGAGCATGATGTCTGAGCTCACTAAAATCTGTAAACCAAACACTAAAGAGTTAGAGATGAATGATATGCTTTGCTTCAACAATTAAAAACAGAACACAACTTGACACAACTACAGCAGAGGATTAGGACATCATTTATGTTTTTTATTCTTTTAAGATTTAGAGATTAAAGTTGTAAATTTTGGAGAAGGAAGTCCTAATGTATTGAAAGTCATAAAGTTGCCTTTGTGAAGGGGGAAATTACTGAAGCTGGTTATGTGCAGGTTTATCTGTGGATGTGAGAAACAATCAAACTGATGATGATCAACATTTGTGATACAGAGGGAGTTGAGCTTTGATGAGCATCACGTTTCAGACATTGTGGTAATTTATGCCTGCAGAGACATCAACACCTTATTCTGGCATATGGATACATATCATAAAATAAAGTTCAATGTCATTCACAGATATTCACGGCTACATTGACAGATGTATCCCTAGCATATTAATTTCAGCCTCTACAAAAGCTATTTTTATGGAGTCAGAAATGAATATGCCGAGGGTATATTTGTTTATGCAGTTGTAAATATTTGTGGATGACATTGGGCTGTGGTTTCTAAGAATCCATATGCCATAAGGTGTTGTTGTCTGTGCAGGTGTAGGCTAGTGATGGTGTCAGAGATGTGGTACTCCTCTGAGCTTGATCCACTCTGAAACACAAATGCTGATTATTATCAGTTTGATTGTTTTTTCAGAAACCACTAGAAGTCTATGAATTACCTGTTGATACATCGAGCGGTAACCCTGCAGATGACCAGCTTTAGTCATTTCCTCCTCCACAAAAGTAGTTTTATGACTTTATATACCTTATGAATTATTCTCCTAAATTTACAATTTTAATATCTAAATCTTAAAAGAAAACTTAATGTTGTCTTGAGACTCTGCT